TTTCAGCAACAAGTCATTGGGAGCCTTCTATACGTTTCATGTATGCGTGTGTATAAGAACACAGATTAATTGGCGATATACATTAAATTACGAAACACATCATTCAAATGACTAAAACCATCATCATTCCAACGAAACGTGTCCAACCCGAGAGCAAAAGGAAACGAAAAAAACCGTATCACAATTCACGGAGAAGCTGAACGGTCTGAAATCTCCGCGAGAACCGCCATCAACGTGTCTCGATATCACATTGTCGAGCGATTCCTTACGATGTCGGCCGGACGGGTGGTTGAGAACCGCTGGGTGGCAATCTTGTACCAACTGGGGTTTGCGGGGTCTTGGGAGACGCGACTCCGGTTCGTAACCTCCTCCCTCGGGGTCCTGGCTACGGCCGAGGGTGGAGTGAGGAATAGGGAAACAGGCGGCGGTGGGTTGGTTGAGGTGGAATACCCTGGGTGTGGGGTGAGTAGTAAGGAGACTACTTGGCGACTAGAGAGGAAGGGCGGAAAGGAGAAGGAGGAAGAAGAAAGAGGAGTGGGCGTGCGGGAGGAGGATGAGGCGAGTCGCTGGCTCGGGATATATCCGTGAGGTCGCTTTTGGGGGGGATTGGGGGGATGGTTCGATGGTGTGGGTAGCCGGGTAGTTGGGTCGAGACGAGGCGTCGTGGCGAAGGAGTCGCTCACTCACTTACTACCCTCATGGCTCCGACCACCAACCCCAATACCACGCACACCTCCGACCTCTCCTCTTTCCCATGGTGGTGCTGCTACCGCCTCTGCTTGCCAAGTTGCCTGCCTGCCGGCAGACCAAGTCGTCCCTAACACTACAAAGTCTATACATATATCCACGGTGTACCCAACGGTGTGCCCACCACCATCACCATCACCGCCTCCACCCCGCCTTTCAGCCTCTCACTCCTTTTCAAGCAACCCCTTTGAGAGGTGCCCCCATATTGATCGTGCTGCGAGAACCCTCTTTGCCGAGGAAAGGCTGCACCCCGGTACGATCCCGACGAGCGAGGTGTAAGTAAACTTACGGCGAACGAAGGTCGGGACCCTCCACCCACCCCGTTACCCATCGTATACGTATCGTCGCCGGGGTTTCCACGGGGGTGGAAGTGCCCGTACACGCGGAAACGCGAGGTAAGAAATGGGTAGGGAGGAAGGGCGTGGAACATCGAGTGCTTTCGGCGTTTCGACGGGAACGGGTGAAAGGGAAGCGAGATGCACCCAAGGGGGGTGGGTGGATAAAGCTCCTGAATACAACGACGGAATCGAACGTATTGTGCGATGAGAAAAAGAGTCTGGGAACCTCGAGGATGCGTCTGGTTGCTGTGGGAGGGATGGGGAACGTTCCACTGGGTCCGTGAATTGGCTTGCGGGGGAAGTAACGACGAACGAAATACTTCGGGGAGATTGCAATTAGTCGTTTAGCTGTGGAACTTTCTAACAGACATTACGAGAGTCCGTTCCTTAACTCTTTCGTTCCCACTGTAGCCATGTGGCAATGTACGTTTAATTGGAAAATAAAAGATTAGTATTGTGCAGTTTTTCGTATCTGTGAGTATATAATAGTTTCTTTTGGTTTTTTATGGTTGGCATGTCACCAATTTTTATATGCTTTTAAAAGATTCTTGTCCAAATGAATTTCCCAAGGAGATCAACCAGCCAAATTCATCAAGAATTATTCCGTTAAAACGGGAACCGACGATAAACGAGAACAATCACAGCGACAGGGACAAATTTCTCGTCTCGTATCCCGGTTATCGATTTAAAATACAGTTTCATTCTCCCGCCCATAAAGAAGTCAAAGGACGTCCCCATAAAAATGATCGTTGGCAAACTGTCGTATCTTCGAGAGCAGAAATCCCTGACATGGTTCTACCGGCGAGCCGTCCGAGGGGGGTTACGGTTGGCATAAAAATTCTATGACACGTCGAAACTTTGGCAACAGCGATTCATACGGGTCCCTCACCCCCCTTTTATTCCTGCACCAGTGTGCTCCGCCCCCGATTCCACGAAACTTATCTCGCGCTAACCATCTCCGTTCCGACATAAATCCAAGATCTTCGAGATTCCGTCGCATTTTTATGATAATGCCTCCCCGCGCCGCCGCCACTCTGTATTCCTCTCGCGAGCACGCCCGCCTTCTTCTTCTTCTTCCGTGCCATCCACCATCGGGGGCGCTGCAGCGGAGGAATCGTTCTCGGAAGTATCTCGGTCGAACTCGTTTCTCCTCTGTCTCCACTTCCACCCCAGGTGTTTTCTTTTACCGTCGATTTATCCCAGGTCAGAAAAGCAGCGCCGTGTCCCGAGGTGTACAGGGTCTCCTCTCGTTTGAAGGCTTTCCTTTCCAGGAACACAACAGTCGTAACCGGAGGACTGACTCCCGGTGTGGTTCTTGGCTGGATAAATAGCGACTGGCCATTACCTGGTAACGAGAAAGGGGGACAAAGAGAGAGAGAGAGAGAGAGAGAGAGAGAGAGAGAGAGGGAGTTGGAGGATCGCCTCGTTGGGTTCGCCCCGCGAGAGAAAACGGATCTCTCCACCTTCCCGTAGCCCCTTTTCGTTCTAGAAAAGTCGAGGCGAGGCACGTAATACGGCTCCGTCGAGGATTCCTTTGAACAGAGCCGTTCGATGCTGGTATTCGCGCCTGTTCTCTTGCCTCCTTTCGCCCCTATACCCTTCGGAATTCCCTCATCTCCTCCCCCTTTTTTATCGAGTGAACCGACTCCTCCGTCCTCACGCCCCGCGGCTCAATTTCTCGATGTCGTCGGATCGCCTTCCGCCGCGTGCCTACGCAGCGTCTTCCGACCATTTCTGAAATACTTTCGTACCCTCCAATAGATGACGCCGTCGGAGGGTGTCATTTTTCACAGGCTTTCGGACGCAACAGATGCGTTCCGTATTCTGTCCATGTAATCTGTTTTGGGAAGCGACTCGTGGACAGTAAAGACTCTCCTATAGAATGTACGATTTGTCGTACGACAAATACGACAGAATGTCGATAACGTGACTCTGGAAACACAAATCTAAGGAGGAAAAGGTAGTTCTTATTTAACTTTACGCAACTATCACGGCGATTCAAGTCCCCATTCAGACATTCACACCGAAGTCTCGGAACTCAGGGCCACCGCGAAGGTCTCTCGAAAGAAGAATACTCGGCCCCGACGACTTTCTAAATCACGAGTTACCCTATTTCATTTCCTTTCGACCGAGACACGCTCACGGGTCCTCCAGACCTCGGGCGAAGGGATGCTACCGGTGGCGTCTGGGTAATGGACCGAGCCAGAGGTGCCGGTGGATGAGAGACGAAGGGTAATTGAGAAGAGGAGATTTACTTCGGGGGCGGGCGGCGCGTCGAGAGAGGCTGCGAGTGGGTAGTTTACGATGTTGCCACGGATGGGGCGCGCAGTTATCGAGGGGACGAGGACAGGAGAAGGGCTCGAGCGCGCGCGCTTATGCGGATAAAGAGGACAGACACATACCGTTCGCCGTATCTCCCCACACCCCGACAAAAGTGTCGCTCGTAAAACTTCCTGTCGATGATATCTTCGACACCCTCGTCTTTTCGTATCTCCGAAGCTATTGGCAGCGGAGTTTTCCGGTATAAGACGATTCGCGACGCTTTACCGACGCGACCCGATTATCGTCTCTGTCCCCCGGTGAAAAGGGAAGTTCCGAGGGGATCGAAGATTAATAGGGTGGTCAGTTGGTTGTGACGGCGGTGTAAGACAAATTCGTCTGAATCGTTTTTGTAATCGACGGTATTTCTGGAGCAAAAGTTGTACAGGATAGATCAATAATTTTAGTACAAGTGTAAAATTGTAAGAACTTGCGATCGAACCCTACGAAAACTGCTCTGGAAAATACATCATCGATCAACGTAGCAGAAACTCATTTCCCCCGACAAACATCTTAATTGAAAGTTCTGATATTTCGTCCTCCCCATTAGAGCGGGGCGGCAAGCGACGACGGTCTGCCTGCGGAGCAAATAAAAATTACTTCCCTTGATTTTCGCGTCCGGGCGCTTTTTAACCGAATCAACGATTTTCTGTATTATTTACTCTCGCGTTTTCTCGCGTCGAGGGAAGAAACCGACGGAGGAATCGGACGGGCGGATACGTAATTTAATTGCTGCCGGGACCGTCCTAGAGGCAAATATTTTATTTAATCGCAGAGAACGGGGGAAAAGAGTCAGAAAATGTTCCCAGCTTTTCAACGTCGAGGTTTTCTGTTCGTTCCGCGGTATCGTCGCGCGCGTTGCCTTTAGAATCGCCGTTTTCGTTGAAAGCTGCGACGAGTTTGTATTAAAGCGAGACGAAAGTAACGGGTGCTCTGTATACGGGGTCCCGGGATAAGATTTCTCGCGATAAACCTTAATACTTATTTTACGGCTCCCGTCTACGGGCAAACTCTCGGCCTGATATGCTCGTCGAACGGTCTTCGTATCCTGACAGCGATTACCCCTTATCCGACGGTGTTTACTCCCGCTGATAAGGGATCGGTATCTTCGTGCCCATAGATCCAACAAATCGACTACCCAGAGATATTTCCCTCTCTCGGTTCTCGAGATAACGGAACAAAGTGATTCTTCTAATCGATTGCTTTTTTTTCCAGAAAATTGTTACTAAATTTCATAAATTTTATCAATATTGCGGAACGATTATTCTAAACCACAATAATCACATTTATTTCAGGATAAGATACGTCAGATTGTTTACATCTAGATGACGAATTTTATGCAATTATAGCCTATAGAGATCTGTTAAATACATACAATAAAACACAAAACTTTCATTAGATGCAACGAATTTTCTATTTCATTCTGAATCCAATAAGACCCATACAAGGAGATAGAAATTCCTACATTTACTCTTGTCTTTAAAGAACATACTTTAGAAAACGTAATTTCGCATAAAAATCCTTAGTCTATTTATAATTAACAGGACTACGAGGTAGAAATTCGGTTCTAATTTTCGTCTGGTTTGTCTGTTACAGAGAAACTCGATATCGCCCGCGGAGCGCGAAAAGTACAGCAGGCCCCGAAGCACACCGGACTCACAGCATCACGATCACATGCCCCTGAAGAAGTTGAAGAAGGAACAGGACAAAGACATAGGCCATGTATGTATTGTAGGATGTGTGGTCTCCGTATCTCGCCAACTGATGTTTTACAGAGTAGACCATGAAACGTGATCAGCTTAGATTATTCTACTGCTAGCTGTTCGATCGAAAAATTTCTTAACTAACATGTTCAATGAAACAGGCACCAATAATAAATCTCCTTAATATTTGCTCATGTATTATTACCCACCATTTATTATATTTTATTATAATGTAAAAGTTTCATTTACGACTTTAATTAAATAAAATAAATTTTAAATGTTTTATTCTTTAATTATGAACATTCCATTTGGGATGTTTTGATTTTTAATCGGAAAATACTTTTATGGTGGTACATACATTTTTTTATTCTTATTTATTTGGTACAAAATTTACAAACTTTGAGAACCCCTGTTCTAAACCAAAGAAACATTCAGAAACTATTATTTACTTTAATTAAAACGATGTTTAATTAAAATGACGTCCATCAGCTTCAATACACTTGCGACTGCTTATGTATTTCTATATACGACGTCTGCACTGATGCATGCGAAAAAATTTTCGATCAAACAGCTAGCAGTGGAATAATCTAAGCTGGATCATGTTTCGTGGTCCACCCTGTATAAATAGGTACCTTTAATAAAGCCGTACACGTTTTCCCCGACAGCAAAGCGACGGCGAGAAGAGCGACCAAGACTTGGTGGTGGACGACGCGAGCGAAGGGCCGACGAGTCCCGCGGCGAACGGCACCTCATCGCCGAGGGAGAACGGCCTCGACAAGCTGGGCCCGTCCTCGGTCCCTTTGAGCGGCCAGGTGAAGAAAGAAGTGCCGCCACCCTCGCCGCGGAGCGGCACCAGCAGCAACGCGAGCACGCCCTCGGCGAAGAAGATGGAAGAACGGGAGAAACCGACAACTCCGATCTCGAAACCTGTCACACCTACGTCAGCAGGTACGTTCTTTTTTCACGGTGAAATGGTAATCAACCATATGGGGGGGGGGGGGATCGTTAACATCGCTTCGGAAGGACTCACTTTTTCATTCGTGAACTTGAACCACTGGTGGAAAATTATACTCGGAATGATTGGACCAATGGATGTTAAAACGAAGTCATGTTTGATCGTAATAGGGGAAGAGTGGATAGCACCGGACACTTAAATGGATCAACTATATATTATCAGTAAATTGTAATGAAATTACTGTTTCAGGAAATAAGCATAAGAACTTATGAATAATTTTTAATGAATAATTTTTTGGGAAAAAATCGATAACGCCTGTGGTTTTACGTAATCAGAAAGTGGCGGGTAGTCCTGGACATAATTTTCAACGGTCATCTAGGAGTTCGGGTATCCTTATATATATTATAGATATAATGTAAATTTGACAGATCAATTAGAGTTAAAGTGAAAAGTTATTAGTTGTATGTTCGTTAAAAAGATCGAAAGTAGTTAACAATTCAGAAACGCAGCACAATGCCTGTTAGTTAACAAGTCTGACGATAAATGTACGGTCGACAGGTGGTAGCAGCTCCGGTTCCGGCGGTCTGAAAGCATCGAGTTCCAGCAAACCACTGGTCTCGGCTTCGGCGGTCGGCCCTTATCCGCCGCACTATCCGCCGCCGCATCATCCACCCGCAGGACCTCATGCGGACATGTTGGGTTATCCTCCGGGAGCTCTGAATGGATATCCCACAAGACCGCCTCTTCAGCAACTCTACGACCCTCACGGCAGCATGAGGGCACCTCTTGGACCATTCGGGGTGCCCGGTGGCAAACCGTAAGTGCTCTCCTTCGTACGTTACCTTCTCGAACGATCTTCATTGTCCTCGAATTTTGCATAGTAATCTTCTACTACATTCACTATCAAAGGTAATATTAAATCGATGTCTTGTAACATTCAGACATATCCTTCGAAAAGAAAAGCAACATTAAATTACTGTCACGAACATAAATTATAGTTGATACAATAGAGTACAAAAATATTGAGCACAGTAGTTAATACTCCAGTACTTGTAGTTCTTTTTGATCTTATAATTTTAAGGAAACCTATCATTTTCTTTTTTCATACATAGTTCTGTTGCTCATAGACAGATTAAATGTCCTACAATTTGGAAAGTTATATTTGATTGTCCATCGAATGGAGAAAGGCCATTAAAAAGTACTGTCGTCTTTTTACTATTCCTACTCGTGAAACACGATGAATCCAAGGAGGTTGTGCGAGGACTCTCACAAAAGAACGTCCAATTTCTTTGTCTTCGCAGCGCGTACAGTTTCCACGTATCGAGCGAAGGCCAGATGCAACCGGTCCCGTTTCCACCCGATGCCCTAATTGGACAAGGCATACCGCGTCATGCGCGCCAGATAAATACCCTAACGCACGGCGAGGTGGTGTGCGCGGTGACGATCTCGAATCCGACTAAATACGTTTACACCGGCGGCAAAGGATGCGTCAAGGTCTGGGACATCAATCAGGGCGGCGGCGGCAGCGCGAAACACGTTTCGCAGCTTGATTGCCTGCAACGGGACAACTACATCAGGTTGGTTAAACGTTCACGGCACATGACACATTAACTTTCCACTACGGGCGAAGTAAACGCCCGGTTTCCGCCGGCGCTGAATAAATACAGATTAGCGTGTTCACCTGCGGTACTATTAAGGTCACGTTCAATGATACACGTATTGCTGTTCCGGTTAATCGCGATATTCTGGAAAATGTTTCGCTCGCTAATTACAGTACTAATTAGAGCGCCGTTTAAATGTTGATTGCATCCGGATGAATTTCATTGGAAAACACTGGTACACGTAGATAGATCCTTGGAACAACTAAATTTAGAGAGAGAGAGGAATATAGAATTCTATAATGTCCTCAACTTCAAATTTTGTTAATACATTATTTTTGATCTTTTATTAAACAGATCAGTGAAGCTGTTACCAGACGGTAGGACCCTCATAGTTGGTGGCGAGGCGAGTAACCTAAGCATCTGGGATCTGGCCAGTCCAACGCCAAGGATCAAAGCGGAACTAACATCAAATGCACCAGCCTGTTACGCTCTGGCCATCTCGCCGGACTCGAAAGTCTGCTTCAGCTGCTGTAGCGACGGCAACATCGCTGTCTGGGATCTACAGAATCAATCGTTGGTCAGGCAATTCCAAGGTCACACGGACGGTGCGTCTTGCATCGACATCTCCGCCGATGGCTCGAAACTCTGGACCGGAGGTCTCGACAACACCGTGCGTTCCTGGGACCTGAGGGAGGGCAGACAGCTTCAACAACACGATTTCACCTCGCAAATATTCTCCCTCGGTTACTGTCCCACCGGCGAATGGCTGGCGGTCGGTATGGAGAACTCGAACGTCGAGGTGCTGCACGCCACCAAGCCGGACAAATATCAGCTTCATTTGCACGAGTCCTGTGTGCTTTCGTTACGTTTCGCTACCTGCGGCAAGTGGTTCGTCTCCACCGGCAAGGACAATTTACTTAACGCGTGGCGTACACCCTATGGTGCCTCGATATTCCAGGTGAGGTTGAATTTTATATATATGTCCTATCCGGGGAGATCAGATTGCTAATATTATAAGAATCGTTCGTTGATCACATAGCATATTGAAGTGTACTAAGGATAGAGGTTTTTAGGTTGCTTATTATATCTATTTTGAATAGCTTTTCAAACGGTTTGAACAATGTTTTTTCTGTTCTCTTACAGTCCAAGGAATCCTCATCGGTGCTCAGTTGCGATATTTCGACTGATGACAAATACATCGTGACTGGATCAGGCGACAAGAAAGCCACCGTCTACGAAGTGATATACTGAATTACCAACTTCACCAGACTGACAGATACTGAATATTGTCGAATGGAAGACTACGCTTTTGTATTAATCGTATATTGAAAAAGAAAAGCGAGGAATAGGCTTCAGTTTCCGGAGACGGTGGAACGGAATTCGTTCGGAGTACACGTACTGAAGCTGGCAATGAAGGGATCATAAGAAAGCTTAGACTCTACGCCTGAGGGACTATCTTTTTTGTGAATCGAGTGATGGCATGTGTTATATTTGTTATATTTGGATCAATTGTAACGGCCGCTCTAACGGACTTACACGGCTGCTAGGAACTGAAGTTACATTATATAGATATAAATATATAAATATATATAAATATAAAGGTGGCAGGACGTTTTAGCTATTTAAGATTGTATAGAGCGCATGGTTATAAATAGAAAACGATGTCGATCGAGAGGGAGACTATGTGCGCGATGTTCGCCGCCGAATGATCACGTGAGATCGGTATGTATCGACTTTCGATCGGAGAGGAAGTCGCCTGTGTAATATGTTACTAATGTAATATAGCGTTTTACGGTTAAGTAAATCATACGCGTGACTGTGAGAGATTGCGATGGCGGACACATTGGTACTTTGGCCGTTTCCGCCGGCGCGTGATGTCCTCGTGCTTTATTAACGGCGACGAACGAACGTGAGATACATGTTATGGATCACCGATCTAGCGTGTAAAACCCGTAGGAATGTGTGTCGTGTTGCAGAATTCCACGTAATGTATCGAACACACGCGTAGAAAAGAGGAGCGTCTAGGGTGGACATAGCGAATATAGGGCTATGAACTGATGTGTAATTTTCGATCTGACGGAGATACTCCGATATTTCCATGACTGAGAGTGCAAGTCATCATTTGTACTCGTACGTATGCCTGAGTTTCCCGAGACTTTGTTCGTTCTTTCGTTGCTCTGTTTCTGTGTCACCGCCACCAGATTATGGTAACTAGGTTCGGTAACTATGGAAATTTTGTGAAAGGCATGGAAGGATAAGGGAAACAATGCGTTCGATCTCTCGACATTTTCTAGGACAAACACATACGAAGGAAGGGAAACGAGCTCTTTCCGTCGCACTGTAATCAATAAAGATCCCTCATGAGGTACAAACTTCTAGTACGTCGTAACTTATTCGCGTCTCGAGCTTTTTGACTATCTAATAAAGATCGAAGAGTCTCTATTCGGCCAGCTGAACGTATATTTTTACGACCGCCAGTCATTTCACCGTGAAACGATCATCGACAACCACGAACGCATCTGTCTTCCGCGGTGTATCTTTTACAGATTCAATATATATCGGTTTGTGTCTTTTATCGGAGAACCGTGTACGATGTACTTTATATATTGTACCATCGTGAGGGAAGAAACGTCCGCGTGTAACGAAAACCCAGTCGTACTCGATGGAAATATACATGAACTCATGCGTACGCGTATCCGGATGCACGCCATTTTATCGCCGATGGCACCGGGGCGCGTGTACACGACGAATGACACACGGGCCACCGCTCATAGACGACACGTTTTTTTGCAAGATATTCAGCGAGATATTTTTATGATTGTCCACGATGGCCCTAGGTTTAACCGGACGACTCAAGACATATCGCGGTTGGAACAAATGTAGTCGCTTTTTGAAACTTCGTACGCTGCCTTTCGATGAGGTCTCGAGTGTTGAATGTTAGGTGTGATTAGATCGATTTTTGTGACCTCAACGTTTAGTTTTGAGCATTTAATTCATCACACAACATATTTAACGGGTTGTATCTAAAGGGACTGTCGATTAATAGACCATTTGAATCAATTCCAAGGAAGCCACTATATTTGCATCACTCGCGATACGTTTTTAATGAATTAAATTTTATCGTATCGGCTGGATCAATTTTCACGATTGCATTTAAGTAAATTGACGATTTTTCTTCGTGTCCAGCGAGACGGCGTTTGAAATTAGGGTACTAGGTAGTCGCGTTATTATTCGGATCTGAAATACGGTGAAAGCAGGGGATGCATAATGGAGATTTATATTTTGTTACAGGATGACACATGTTTTACATTTGCTGTGATCGTCGTTAAATCGACACTGTAATAGTGCCCCGCGCGCGAGAATGTAACATTTTAAATAACGCGAATTTTCGACGTGGAAAGAAAGGGAAGAATACGCGAGAATAAACAGAAAATAAAAGAAGGAAGAAACAGATAGATTTTCGACGAGCACAGCTACGAACGATAGACCAATAGAAACAACGATACCTCAAGAAGACTCAATAGTTAATTATCTCTTACGGATTAACTTGTACAGAATCGATATTCTTTTACAGTGAATGATACGCATACCTACACAGATGCATTAGACACACCATACACAGACGCACTAGGATGAACAGCGGCTAACAAATGGAAACAACAGCGAAATCGCGACTCGACACCCGAAATAATTGTTAATTGTGTCCCGCATTCACTGAATCGTGTCTCCGTGCTCACAATTTGCACTCCGTGTGTACGAAAGTAAAGAGAATGCGTTTCTAGCAGAGAAAAAAAAAGACAAATGTTAATCCTTTCCAAGCACAGTTCATGTTGTTCCTATAGCTACGCGAAAATTGTTTCTTTCGACAATTAAATCATCTATATCTATATACATGGGAAGTTTTATTAAATACCATTTAACTCCTCCTTTATTTATCGCGAGTAAGTAAGTAATAAAATTCGATCCAACAAGAGCTCTACTAGCCAACCTTCTACAGAATATTACTTCAGCTTTATTTCAATTGTAAGGTATGAATTTATTAAAATAGTCGAGTGTATACGTGACTCCTTGCACTTTATTATTCAGCTTCACGTATTCATATAATTAACAAAGATTTTCTACCTTACATTTAGTCTTAAAATAATCTAAGTTTCATGTACGATAGAACATTTACCAAAAATATTCGATCTTACATTTATTATCCTAACTAGAGAAATTAATTTTAAGTTCGCAGCCATTAGCTCGATATTACCTTCAGTTTACAATACTTTACCAAAGATAATACCGATTGCCCAGGTCTCACCACGAGGAGGTTACTGCGAGTGGAGACCCAAAGAAAGCTAGATGGAACCCAATCCCATCTATGTAACCGAAGTTACATCGATGGAATCATTAGTTTCATCTACCTCCCTTTTTACAAAGTCTTACAAATAACTTAAAGGTAACTGAAATTTAGATGCTTTAATGTTGATTTCCCTCGGCGGATGGCTTCTTTCTTAAGTCTACCTGAAAATAAAATGAAGATCCCACGGCGGATGATCGACGTCTTCTTACTTGAACTTATAATAATCTTTCAATCGACTTAACTTAACTAAATAAACTAAGATAAATGGAAGAGAGATAAATGTAATCAAAGTTCCATTGATCGCAATGGATTTCAAGGAGTTTGTTAAGTGGTACATTCATCTTTTAAACTGGATTACTCCACATGTATATTCCCGCCAAGTCGTATTAGTCGGCGATCTACTGCTCTGACCAATCAGCTACTCGGGATCTCCCGAAGATAGCCGAATGAACCGCTCGGCACCGGCCGAATGTAAC